TGTGGCAGTGGTGGCATGTGCGTGTGGCAGTGGTGGCATGTGCGTGTGGCAGTGGTGGCATGGTGCGTGTGGCAGTGGTGCATGTGCGTGTGGCAGTGGTGGCATGTGCGTGTGGCAGTGGTGGCATGTGCGTGTGGCAGTGGTGGCATGTGCGTGTGGCAGTGGTGGCATGTGCGTGTGGCAGTGGTGGCATGTGCGTGTGGCAGTGGTGGCATGTGCGTGTGGCAGTGGTGGCATGTGCGTGGCATGTGCGTGTGGCAGTGGTGGCATGTGCGTGTGGCAGTGGTGGCATGTGCGTGTGGCAGTGGTGGCATGTGCGTGTGGCAGTGGTGCATGTGCGTGTGGGCAGTGGTGGCATGTGCGTGTGGCAGTGTGGCATGTGCGTGTGGCAGTGGTGGCAGTGCGGTGCGTGTGGCAGTGGTGGCATGTGCGTGTGGCAGTGGTGGCATGTGCGTGTGGCAGTGGTGGCAATGTGCGTGTGGCAGTGGTGGCATGTGCGTGTGGCAGTGGTGGCATGTGCGTGTGGCAGTGGTGGCATGTGCGTGTGGCAGTGGTGGCATGTGCGTGTGGCAGTGGTGGCATGTGCGTGTGGCAAGTGGTGGCATGTGCGTGGTGGGCATGTGCGTGTGGCAAGTGGTGGCATGTGCGTGGCAGTGGTGGCATTGCGTGTGCGTGTGGCAGTGGTGGCATGTGCGTGTGGCAGTGGTGGCATGTGCGTGTGGCAGTGGTGGCATGTGCGTGTGGCAGTGGTGGCATGTGCGTGTGGCAGTGGTGGCATGTGCGTGTGGCAGTGGTGGCATGTGCGTGTGGCAGTGGTGGCATGTGCGTGTGGCAGTGGTGGCATGTGCGTGTGGCAGTGGTGGCATGTGCGTGTGGCAGTGGTGGCATGTGCGTGTGGCAGTGGTGGCATGTGCGTGTGGCAGTGGTGGCATGTGCGTGTGGCAGTGGTGGCATGTGCGTGTGGCAGTGGTGGCATGTGCGTGTGGCAGTGGTGGCATGTGCGTGTGGCAGTGGTGGCATGTGCGTGTGGCAGTGGTGGCATGTGCGTGTGGCAGTGGTGGCATGTGCGTGTGGCAGTGGTGGCATGTGCGTGTGGCAGTGGTGGCATGTGCGTGTGGCAGTGGTGGCATGTGCGTGTGGCAGTGGTGGCATGTGCGTGTGGCAGTGGTGGCATGTGCGTGTGGCAGTGGTGGCATGTGCGTGTGGCAGTGGTGGCATGTGCGTGTGGCAGTGGTGGCATGTGCGTGTGGCAGTGGTGGCATGTGCGTGTGGCAGTGGTGGCATGTGCGTGTGGCAGTGGTGGCATGTGGCGTGTGGCAGTGGTGGCATGTGCGTGTGGCAGTGGTGGCATGTGCGTGTGGCAGTGGTGGCATGTGCGTGTGCAGTGGTGGCATGTGCGTGTGGCAGTGGTGGCATGTGCGTGTGGCAGTGGTGGCATGTGCCTGTGTGGCAGTGGTGGCATGTGCGTGTGGCAGTGGTGGCATGTGCGTGTGGCAGTGGTGGCATGTGCGTGTGGCAGTGGTGGCATGTGCGTGTGGCAGTGGTGGCATGTGCGTGGTGGCAGTGGTGGGCATGTGCGTGGTGGCGTGGTGGCATGTGCGTGGTGGCAGTGGTGGCATGTGCGTGTGGCAGTGGTGGCATGTGCGTGTGGCAGTGGTGGCATGTGCGTGTGGCAGTGGTGGCATGTGCGTGTGGCAGTGGTGGCATGTTGCAGTGGTGGCATTGCGTGTGGCAGTGGTGGCATGTGCGTGTGGCAGTGGTGGCATGTGCGTGTGGCAGTGGTGGCATGTGCGTGGTGGCAGGTGCGTGTGGCAGTGGTGCTGTGCGTGTGCAGTGGTGGCATGTGCGTGTGGCAGTGTGGCATGTGCGTGTGGCAGTGGTGGGCATGTGCGTGTGGCAGTGGTGGCATGTGCGTGTGGCAGTGGTGGCATGTGCGTGTGGCAGTGGTGGCATGTGCGTGTGGCAGTGGTGGCATGTGCGTGTGGCAGTGGTGGCATGTGCGTGTGGCAGTGGTGGCATGTTGCAGTGTGGCAGTGGTGGCATGTGCGTGTGGCAGTGGTGGCATGTGCGTGTGGCAGTGGTGGCATGTGCGTGTGGCAGTGTGGCATGTGCGTGTGGCAGTGGTGGCATGTGCGTGTGGCAGTGGTGGCATGTGCGTGTGGCAGTGGTGGCATGTGCGTGTGGCAGTGGTGGCAATGTGCGTGTGGCAGTGGTGGCATGTGCGTGTGGCAGTGGTGGCATGTGATGTGCGTGTGGCAGTGGTGGCATGTGCGTGTGGCAGTGGTGGCATGTGCGTGTGGCAGTGGTGGCATGTGCGTGTGGCAGTGGTGGCATGTGCGTGTGGCAGTGGTGGCATGTGCGTGTGGCAGTGGTGGCATGTGCGTGTGGCAGTGGTGGCATGTGCGTGTGGCAGTGGTGGCATGTGCGTGTGGCAGTGGTGGCATGTGCGTGTGGCAGTGGTGGCATGTGCGTGTGGCAGTGGTGGCATGTGCGTGTGGCAGTGGTGGCATGTGCGTGTGGCAGTGGTGGCATGTGCGTGTGGCAGTGGTGGCATGTGCGTGTGGCAGTGGTGGCATGTGCGTGTGGCAGTGGGTGGCATGTGCGTGTGGCAGTGGTGGCATGTGCGTGTGGCAGTGGTGGCATGTGCGTGTGGCAGTGGTGGCATGTGCGTGTGGCAGTGGTGGCATGTGCGTGTGGCAGTGGTGGCATGTGCGTGTGGCAGTGGTGGCATGTGCGTGTGGCAGTGGTGGCATGTGCGTGTGGCAGTGGTGGCATGGTGCGTTGTGGCAGTGGTGGCATGTGCGTGTGGCAGTGGTGGCATGTGCGTGTGGCAGTGGTGGCATGTGCGTGTGGCAGTGGTGGCATGTGCGTGTGGCAGTGGTGGCATGTGCGTGTGGCAGTGGTGGCATGTGCGTGTGGCAGTGGTGGCATGTGCGTGTGGCAGTGGTGGCATGTGCGTGTGGCAGTGGTGGCATGTGCGTGTGGCAGTGGTGGCATGTGCGTGTGGCAGTGGTGGCATGTGCGTGTGGCAGTGGTGGCATGTGCGTGTGGCAGTGGTGGCATGTGCGTGTGGCAGTGGTGGCATGTGCGTGTGGCAGTGGTGGCATGTGCGTGTGGCAGTGGTGGCATGTGCGTGTGGCAGTGGTGGCATGTGCGTGTGGCAGTGGTGGCATGTGCGTGTGGCAGTGGTGGCATGTGCGTGTGGCAGTGGTGGCATGTGCGTGTGGCAGTGGTGGCATGTGCGTGTGGCAGTGGTGGCATGTGCGTGTGGCAGTGGTGGCATGTGCGTGTGGCAGTGTGGCATGTGCGTGTGGCAGTGGTGGCATGTGCGTGTGGCAGTGGTGGCATGTGCGTGTGGCAGTGGTGGCATGTGCGTGTGGCAGTGGTGGCATGTGCGTGTGGCAGTGGTGGCATGTGCGTGTGGCAGTGGTGGCATGTGCGTGTGGCAGTGGTGCATGTGCGTGTGGCAGTGGTGGCATGTGCGTGTGGCAGTGGTGGCATGTGCGTGTGGCAGTGGTGGCATGTGCGTGTGGCAGTGGTGGCATGTGCGTGTGGCAGTGGTGGCATGTGCGTGTGGCAGTGGTGGCATGTGCGTGTGGCAGTGGTGGCATGTGCGTGTGGCAGTGGTGGCATGTGCGTGTGGCAGTGGTGGCATGTGCGTGTGGCAGTGGTGGCATGTGCGTGTGGCAGTGTGGCATGTGCGTGTGGCAGTGGTGGCATGTGCGTGTGGCAGTGGTGGCATGTGCGTGGTGGCAGTGGTGGCAGTGGTGGCATGTGCGTGTGGCAGTGGTGGCATGTGCGTGTGGCAGTGGTGGCATGTGCGTGTGGCAGTGGTGGCATGTGCGTGTGGCAGTGGTGGCATGTGCGTGTGGCAGTGGTGGCATGTGCGTGTGGCAGTGGTGGCATGTGCGTGTGGCAGTGGTGGCATGTGCGTGTGGCAGTGGTGGCATGTGCGTGTGGCAGTGGTGGCATGTGCGTGTGGCAGTGGTGGCATGTGCGTGTGGCAGTGGTGGCATGTGCGTGTGGCAGTGGTGGCATGTGCGTGTGGCAGTGGTGGCATGTGCGTGTGGCAGTGGTGGCATGTGCGTGTGGCAGTGGTGGCATGTGCGTGTGGCAGTGGTGGCATGTGCGTGTGGCAGTGGTGGCATGTGCGTGTGGCAGTGGTGGCATGTGCGTGTGGCAGTGGTGGCATGTGCGTGTGGCAGTGGTGGCATGTGCGTGTGGCAGTGGTGGCATGTGCGTGTGGCAGTGGTGGCATGTGCGTGTGGCAGTGGTGGCATGTGCGTGTGGCAGTGGTGGCATGTGCGTGTGGCAGTGGTGGCATGTGCGTGTGGCAGTGGTGGCATGTGCGTGTGGCAGTGGTGGCATGTGCGTGTGGCAGTGGTGGCATGTGCGTGTGGCAGTGGTGGCATGTGCGTGTGGCAGTGGTGGCATGTGCGTGTGGCAGTGGTGGCAGTGTGCGTGTGGCAGTGGTGGCATGTGCGTGTGGCAGTGGTGGCGTGTGCGTGTGGCAGTGGTGGCATGTGCGTGTGGCAGTGGTGGCATGTGCGTGTGGCAGTGGTGGCATGTGCGTGTGGCAGTGGTGGCATGTGCGTGTGGCAGTGGTGGCATGTGCGTGTGGCAGTGGTGGCATGTGCGTGTGGCAGTGGTGGCATGTGCGTGTGGCAGTGGTGGCATGTGCGTGTGGCAGTGGTGGCATGTGCGTGTGGCAGTGGTGGCATGTGCGTGTGGCAGTGGTGGCATGTGCGTGTGGCAGTGGTGGCATGTGCGTGTGGCAGTGGTGGCATGTGCGTGTGGCAGTGGTGGCATGTGCGTGTGGCAGTGGTGGCATGTGCGTGTGGCAGTGGTGGCATGACAGGCATGCATGCATGCAGCACGTGCTCTGTACACTGCACTCCGTGTCCTGTCCCTCCCTTCTCCACTTCTCGCCCTCCCATTCCCCCTCATTCCTCTCTCGCCCCATACCCCATGCCCCGTGCCCGTTGCCCTCGTACCCCGTTATGGCAGCGCGGGCGCGAGTGGAGACAGAGCAGAGGGCGGGCAAGGCGTGGGCAGTGCTGCAGCAGCAGCAGCAGTGGGGCGAGGGCGAGGGCGCAGGCAGCGTGGCGGGGGAGGCGGTGCGCGCCGGCACACTGGTGACAGTGGGGGATGTGGAGGGCAACCTCACTGCCTCGCCCTCTGATGCCCGTACGCTGCTGCCTTGTCATGCATGCACACGTGCACACGTGCACACATGCACTCATGAACTCATGCACCCACCCATGCACCCATGCTCCCATCCACCCTTCCACCCATGCACCCATCCACCCTTGCACCCATGCACATCTGCACCCATGCACATCTGCACCCATGCACATCTGCACCCATGCACATCTGCACCCATGCACATCTGCACCCATGCACATCTGCACTGGTCGTGTGCGCTATTCAGGTGGGCGTATTTGTCCTTGTGTGTTTCAGTCAGCCCCATCTGACATCCTTTGTCACATGCAATGTTCTTCCCCAATCGTCATTCTTCCCTTCGCATACCCCCATGCACCATGCTACCCCCGTGCCCACATGCCTCACCCCTCCCACTCCTGCCAGCGCATGTGGACTCCTTCCAGCGCCTGCTTCTCTACCTGCGCCCGCTCGCCTCGCTCTTCTCGCTGCCCCTCGTTGCCCTCCTCTCCCCCAACGCCACCCACCCACTCGCCCCTCGCTTGCAATCCCTCATCGACGCCACGTCAGCGCGTCTCCAAGCTGCCTCTGCCAGCCTGGCAGCGGCCCAGTCAGTCTTGGAGTCGTCTGAGCGGCAGCTGTGGGTGCGGTGTGGCGTGAAGGCGGGGGGCATGGCGTGGGAAGAGCGGCACGACGGCGAGCTGCAGCGGTACAGAGCGGTGGCGGGGGCAGCGTTTGACAAGTGGTGTGTGGCGTGGGAAGAGGCTCGCCCTTCTCACCGCCTCACTGCTGCCCTCACTGCCCCGCCTCACATCTGGTGGCGCGGCGGCTTGTGGGATGGCGAGCGAGGAGCAGCTGGGGTGGAGGCTGCTGCTGCAAGCGAGAGAGGAGGGGGGGTGAATGCAGGCAGTGCAGCAGGCGAGGGGGAGAGGGAGTCTCCCGAGATCTCCTTTCTGCTGCTAGCAGATCCAGGAGCAGCACAGCGCGCATCAGCGGTGGCAGTGGCGCCACAGCAGGTGGTGCACCGCCTTCATGCCTGCGCCTCCACACTGCCCCGCATGCACCCAGCAGCAGCAGCGACATCACCGCCCAATCCCACCTTTGATGCCCACGCTTCCCCTTCCTCTCCTCGCATGGGCCCTCCTCTAGCGGAGTTGCTGCTGCTGCTCTCACCCGACAGCACCCACGCAGGGCAGCAGGGCGACGAGCAATCGGGCGAGGGGCAGCAGGCAGGTGGGGTGGAGGCGTGGCAAGAGGCGGGTCGCAGCATTGACCCGCAGCACATGCTCGTGCTGCCGCTTGTGGCGCCTCATGCTCATGGTGCTGCCGTGCAGGTGAGCGGCGCAGAGGGTGGCGGCGGCGAGGCGACAGAAGGCGGTGCGCGTGCAGTGGGGATGGCACCGATGGCAGAGTGGGAGGGATTCGACCTGCTGGCCCGCGCTGCCACTGGCCGCCTGCTGCTCCTGCTGACATGGTGGGACCTGCCAGCTGTGATGCATGGGGAGGGCGAGGAGGGGTGCAAGTGGCTGGAGCAGCTGACAGCAGGGATGGCCGAGGATGGGCGCATGGGGGTCGTGGGCGTGCGGACAAGCAGAGTGGAGAGGGGCGTGGGGAAGGCAGAGGAGGGGAAGGGCAAGCAAGGAGAGAGGGAGAGAGGGGTGGGTGGTGGAGCAGTGCTGGCAGCAATGGCGCAGTGGGCTGCGGTGGGCATGGAGAGGGAGAGGGGGGGTGTGAGTGAGAGTGGTGATGCAGGCAAGGGGACGGCAAGGGGCAAAGAGGAGGCAGGGAGGCGCCTCACTGGTTACGTGGACGGCACTCCCTTGCTTGTGCGCCGCCACGCCCTCATGACACTTGGCGGGCTGGGATTGGCTCCCGGAGCACCAGCTGCAGGTCCGGCAGCAGCAGTGGTGGGTTGGGCTCTGTGCACACGCATGTGGCTGGCTGGATTCAAGGTGAGGGCAATGTGCGCTTTCAGGTGACACACTTTGGGGCCTTTTGGGTGAGACACCTGGGCGTTATAGTGAAGGAGCCATGGGCTTCAAAATGATGCAGCCATGTGCATCACCACATGCAGTCCAAGTCAGGATTTAGATGCTACCAGGGTTTAGATGCTACCAGGGATTAGATGCTACCAGGGATTAGATGCTACCAGGGTTTCTTTCCTTCCACCTGCCTGTGTTGGTCCCTTCACAACTGCCTTCGTGCACCGCACACGCCTGTTACTCAACTGCTCGTTTCTCTGCACAATCAGCTTACTCCTCAACTGATACACTGCTCCCACCCGCTCCCCTCCCCTCTTTTTGCCGTTCCCCCCTCACTTTTTTCCTCTCTCCCGCCTTCCACTTCATCCTTGCTCCTTACAGGTTTCTCGTATCACATCGCACGCCTTGCAACCTTTTGCCACGAGCCCAAGCGATCCTCGATTGTTGTCGGGCCATGCTTTCCATATAAGTCAACTCACGCTGGCGGCCTTATATGCACAGTTGTATAAGTGTCTACTTAGTAAAACTGATGCTTTACAAGCTAAAATGAGAGGCTAATATAGTGCAGACTGGTTGAACTGCAGTGAGTGCTTTTTTTATTGTTTGTTTGTTTGTTTGTTTTTTAATACCAGACAGGCGTAGCCTGTTGAAACAATTGAGCAAGAATGAATTAACTATGAAAGAGTTGGGTACAAGTACTAACCCTAATTGGGTTGTACCCCTTATGGGCTACCCCATTATAGCCTACACAAAGTAAGCAATGTGACATTTTGACACACCCCCATAGGCAAAGTGGGGGAGAACAAGTGGTCACAAGACCAGTCAAGAAAAGCAAAGCAAGCTCAGGGTGGATCACAAAGTCACCACACATTCCGAGCACAAGCAAAGGCCACAAGGCCAGTTTGTCAGAATATATTTCTGTATAACTGCATGTAGTTCTAGCTGTAGTGTAATTATATCGCTGTCCTGCTTGTGGTGCACCCCCTCCTTACTTGTCTCTTGTATACCGGTAACTTGGGCATTTGGCCCTTTAGTGAAACATTGTTTCTCGATTTTCCTCTCACCTCAACTCTCTCGACACTCATGGCTAGCTCACACCCTAGCCATGGCTCCTATGACTTTAGGACCTCTAACATGGCCATGTTACGAGCTGTGGCTCCTAACATGGCTCACGACCTCTTTGGGCCCACCACCTGCTGCCCTACGCACCACCCTCGTGTGGCCCTTCTCTCGACATTAGGCCCCGGCCCGTCGCTCGTGCCCGTTGCCCCTAGGCCCCGGCCCCGTCGCCCCTAGGCCCCGGTCCCGGCCCGTCGCCCGTCGCGCGTCGCCCCTAGGCTCCGGCCCCTGGCCCGTCGCTCGCGCCCGCCGCCCCTAGGCCCGTTGGCACCGTCGCCCCTAGGCCCCGGCCCCGTCGCCCCTAGGCCCGTCGCCCCTCGGCCCTGTCGCCTGTCACTCGCGCCCGCCGCCCCTAGGCCCGTCGGCCCCGTCGCCCAACACCCCTAGGCCCGTCGGCCCCGTCGCCCGTCGCTCTCCTAGGCCCGGCCCCGTCGCTCGACGCCCCCAGGCCCCGGCCCCTAGCCCGTCGCCCCTCGGCCCGTCGCCCCTAGGCCCCGGCCCCGGCCCGTCGCCCGTTGCCCCTCGGCCCGTCGCCACGGCCCGTCGCCCCTAGGCCCGTCGCCCCTAGGCCGGCCCGTCGCCCCTAGCAAGGCCCGTAGGCCCGTCGCTCCTAGCCCGGCCCGTCGCCCCTAGCCCACGCGCCCCGGCCCGTCGCCCGACGCCCCTACGCCCGCGACTGACGCCCCTCCGCCCCCCCCTTCTTCTCCATCCCCCTGCTGCGGGTGCAGCAGTGGGGGGGGGAAGGGGGGGGGGGGGGATATGGGGGTGGTGGGCTCTTGGAATGGTACGGGGGTGGCCGGAATGGATCTGCAGCACCAGCCCCCCCGCCCCCCCCCCTTCTCCTCCATTCCCCTGCTGCGGGTGCAGCATTGGGGGGGAGGGGATCTGCAGCACCAGCCCCCCCGCCCCCCTTTCTCCTCCATTCCCCTGCTGTGGGTGCAGCAGTGGGGGGGAGGGGATCTGCAGCACCAGCCCCCCCCCCCTTCTCCTCCATCCCCCTGCTGCGGGTGCAGCAGTGGGGGGGAGGGGATCTGCAGCACCAGCCCCCTCCCCCCCCCCTCCCCCTTCTCCTCCATCCCTCTGCTGCGGGTGCAGCAGTGGGGGGAGGGGATCTGCAGCACCAGCCCCCCCCCGCCCCCCCCCTTTTCTCCTCCATCCCCCTGCTGCAGGTGCAGCAGTGGGGGGGAGGGTATGGGGGTGGCGGGTGTGAGTGAACTGCTGCCGCCTCTCCTCCTCTCTCTCCCACTGCTGCACATCCCCCTGCTGCAGGTGCAGCAGTGGGGGGGAGGGTATGGGGGTGGCGGGTGTGAGTGAACTGCTGCCGCCTCTCCTCCTCTCTCTCCCACTGCTGCACATGCCGCTGTGGGGAGGGGGGGGGAGTGTGTGGGGGAGTTGAGGGAGTGGCAGTAGGGATGCTGAGGGGTGTGACAGGGAGGTTTTTGGGGAATGGGGGAAGTTGTAGGGGGGTGGGCGCAGTGAAGCCAGCAGCTCCAGTCGCCCGTGAGACCGTTGCGCCAGCTGCCCGTGAGACCGTTGCTCATGTAGCCCGTGAGTCAGTTGCTCCTGCCGCTCGCTTAGCCGCGGAGCCAGTTACTCCAGTTGCCCGTGTGCCAGTTGCTCCATTTGCCAGTGTGCCAGTTGCTCCAGTTGCCCGTGTGCCAGCAGCTTCAGCCGCCACCCACCACCTCCTCTCCTCTCATGGTCCCTCCTCCTCTTCGCTTGCCCTCTCCTTCCTCCACTGCGCCGGGTGTACCCCTTCAGGGGGTGTTACGCACATGGCTATTCTTGCATGTAGTTAGGGGGTGTGTCAGAATATATTTCTGTATAAATGCATGTAGTTCTAGCTGTAGTGTAGTTATATCGCTGTCCTGCTTGTGGTGCACCCCCTCCTTACTTGTCTCTTGTATAACTTGGGCCTTTGGCCCTTTAGTGAAACATTCTTTCTCGATTTTCCTCTCACCTCAACTCTCTCGACACGCATGGCTAGCTCACACCCTAGCCATGGCTCCTATGACTTCAACACATTTCACATGCAGAGTTATATATAAGAGAACAAACAGTACCGTATGGCCCCGGATATAGGCGCCGTCCAATTAAAGGCGCCGGCGCTTTGTCAAACATATATGTTATAGTATGTCTAGGCTGTAGTGGGGTAGTTCATACAGGGTACAACACTTTTAGGTTTCCTACTTGTACCCACCTGCTTGCTAATTCAGTCATTCCTTTCTTCACTATTCAGACATGGTATTCTGAGCAGGTTCCCTTGTGGGAACTTTTTTTTTTAGGGCCCACCACGATTTTTTTTTCTGCCCTGCCCGAAGCGCGCCTCGCGCCTGCTTCACCTGCGCCGTCGCGTGCCCTGCCCTAGAGCCGCCCTTCGCGGCCCTGCCTTCTCGGCCCGTCGCGGCCCTACCCTAACGGCCCGTCGCGACCCTACCCTAACGGCCCGTCGCGGCCCCCTACCCTAACGACCCGCCGCGGCCCCCTGCCTTCTCGGCCCGTCGCGGCCCCCTGCCCTCTCGGCCCGTCGCGGCCCTGCCCTGCCGCCACCCGCGGCCTCTGCCCTGCCGCTACTCATCGCGGCCCTGCCCTAACGGCCCGTAGCGGCCCTGCCCTACCCTGCCGTCCAACCGCGGCCCTGCCCGGCTGCCGCCCTGCCGCGGCCCTACCCTGCTGCCGCCCTGTCGCGGCCCTGCCCTGCTGCCGCCCTGTCGCGGCCCTGCGCTGACGCCACCAAGTGGCGGCCCTGCCCTGCTGCCGCCCCAGTCGCGGCCCTGCACCCGCCCCTGGTAAACACCCGCACCGCCTAGCCGAGCCGCGCCGCTCCTCCGAGCCGCGCCGCCCTGCCGCGCCGCCCAGCCGAGCCGCGCCACCCTACCGAGCCGCGCCGCCCTGCCGAGCCGCGCCACCCTACTGAGCCGCACTGCCCTGCCCGCGCTGCTCCTGCTGCTACTGCTGTTTCTGCTGCCACTGCTGCTACTGCTGCTACTGCCGCTATGGCTAGCCCTACTGTTCTTACCTTAAATGCTGAGGGGCGTGCAGTTGACTTTGACGTGTGGGTTGACGACCTGCAGCTCTTTCTTCAGTGTGACTCTAAGGACGGAGTATCCCTTTTCGATCACACGTCCGGTGTCTCTCCTGCACCTGCTGCTACTGCTGACAGTACGGTTCGCTCGCAGTGGACCACTCGTGACGCTGTTGCTCGCCTTGCTGTTCGTAGTCACCTGCCGTCTTCTGAGCGTGCGCACTTTGGCCAGTACAAGACTGCTAAGTCGTTGTATGACGCTGTCGTAGCGCGCTACTCCTCCCCTGCCACTGCTGTCCTCAGCCGCCTCATGCTGCCGTACCTGTTCCCTGACCTTGCCGCCTTTGCCACAGTCGCTGACCTCATTACTCACCTCCGGACTAGTGACGCCCGCTACCGCGTTGCGCTTCCCACTGAGTTCTGTGCCAAGAACCCCCCCCCCCCCCCCCCATGTACATCACCCTTTACTACCTAGTCACCCGCCTCCCTGACTCCCTTGCTTCAGTCAGGGACCACTTTCTCTCCCTTTGCCCCACCGAGCTCACCGTCGACCTGCTAGAGGAGCGCCTCACTGCAGCTGAGAAGTGTATCGTTGCAGTAGGTGCTTCTCGCGGCGACCCTCGCGCCCCTTTCTTTGAGGGGTGTTCCCCTGCCCCCCTTCTCCCCTCTGTTGCTTCTGCTGCTGCTGTCGACCTCGTTCGCACTGAGGAGGTCGGGGCTGCGTCTGCTCCTAGTGGGAGGCGCCGCAACAGCAAGGGCAAGGGGGGCAAGGGTGGTGGAGGGGACGGTGGGGGCGGCGGTGGAGGCGGTGGAGGAGGCGGAGGGGGTGGCGGTAGAGGTGGGGGTGGTGGCG